CCTCGGAACACCGAGAACCCCACCACAGACACGAAGCGAAAAGCTAGGTAAGGTGGTGCACATTCATAATACCTTTTCTGGGGTGAGGGTACGCAGGGAAGATGCCACAAGATCAAGGCCAGCTTAAGCTACAGAGTGCCTTCATTCTTTAAAAATAATCAAGTTGGACTTCGTAGCTCAACCTCTAATCCTAGCACCTGGGAAGTGGAGAATCAAGAGTTCAAAACCTCCTTTGCCTACAAAGCAAGTTCAAGACCAGTCTGGGCAACATGAGACCCTGTCTCAAAAATTTAAAAATATAAATAAGGCTAGAGATGTACACTGAAGTTATACAGGAAGGGACAAATCTTTCTGCCTTCCTCAAGCCTGCCCTAATGCCAAGTTCCAGGAAAGGGACACCTGACAGAGAACACCGGCCACAGCAAAAAACCAGACTCAGACTTCTCTCGTCAACACAGAAGCTGCGGCCATCTGTCCTCAGACTTCCTGGAGGGCCACTCTCCTCCATGTCCATGAAAGAGATAAGATGTGAGCAGCCCAGTCCAGAAGAGGCTACCGGGGTGGGAGAAGGGATTCCGAGACACGCTGGGTGAAAGAGAGGTCCACGTGTCTTCCCCACTATCTTCTCTTACTGAAAACTCACAGAAACAAGCCGACCTCAGAGCAAGGGGGAGGATGGCGGAAGGAAGAGATAGTGCCATCTTCCAACAATGTCAGCTTGTTGCTAACTACATCCTTCTGGGTCACTCTGCCACAGCAGAGAACAGAGAAAGCACGGCTGGCAAAGCCATCGAGAAGCCCAAATGCTCAGGAGGTGACTAACGAGCAAGGTGCCAGGCTGAGCTTCGCTTCCTCGGGGCATCAGTGAAGATCACATGGCACTGCCAGGAAGGAGCTGGGCTAACAGGCTTAGGGAGGTAAAACAGCCTGCGCCAGGCCACAGGTCTGAAAACACTCGTCCCAGAAGGACTTCTGACCCGGCAGGGCTGTGATTCCAACCCCAGGGCCCCGAGCCCCAACTGCCACAGCTTGTCCACTTCCCACTGCAGCCAGGCTTCCTCTCACGTCAGCAGCTGTTGCTTCACGCCGAGGAAAGCCACAGAAACAGTAGGTTCCCCACAAGCTCCACCTCACGGGTGTCCCCTCCCTCCTTTTAATTGTGGCGGCCAAGGCGCCGGGGTTCCAGCGGGCAGCGAGTTTCCTGGGCATGATTATCAGCATTTGTGGCTGTGAGGAAATTATCACTCCCAACGGCAAGGCAGGTTCAGGCTGGCACGGCTCGG